CTTCCATCAAATTTTTCATCATTAAAACGTGATCAAACTTCTACACACACACACACACACACACACACGCACACACACACACACGCGTATATTTGAAAGAAAAAAGGAAAGCGAAGAAAATTATTTGAAGAAACTTTAATCGTGATTTATAAACACAACAGAATAGAAAAAAAAGAGAAAACTCTTTAGAGAAGTCTTTAAAACTGACAACTAAACAAAAAAAGAAAAAACCAAAAATCGTATGACTATGTGAGAGAAAACGAAATTCTTCTCGTTTTCTTTTTTTTTTCTGTATAAACTATTTCAAGAAGAGAAGATGGAATGCTAAAAAATATGCCAATTGTCGTGTGCAAAACAACAGGAAAAATCGATCTCGATTCGAATTGAATTGTTGAAAAAAAGAAGAAAAAAAAAACAATACAAAGAACACACTTTGATACATATACACACAATGTTTGTTTGTATTTTATTGATAAATAAAAAATTAACTTTTAATTGCCATTTGCACACCATTCACTTTACGAGATGTTACTTTCCCATCTTCTTCAACTATTTCCGTTATTTGACCATTTTCTTCAACTCTAGAAATACAAAATCATAAAGTTCATTTAATTACAAGTTGATGCTGCAAAATGCAGATAATAAGAGTTTTATAACATCCGACTACGGATTTATTGTCTATGATTATCTCCGTATAAATATCATTACAATTTCATAGATTTCTATTTACCTTGTCGTCACAACTCGTTTACCACCAACTGTTTTTGCTGATCTTGTCGTTTTTTTGGCTAAAGGTCGAGATCCATTCGAGCTAAAATAGAAAAATACAGATTTGATATAAATACGGAACAGAAAAAAAAAGATGACAAACTTACTCTGATGTAAAATTAAATGATGATATAGTTCCAAATCCATCACTACCAAATGAATCGAATGGCATTCTCATTGGTGAAAAAAAGTCATCGAATAAACTTATTTGTTGACGTTGAGAACGAGATTGTTGCCGATGATTATCTGAATTAGGACCACCACGATGATGAAAATTATGTAAACTATGAATATTTTGATGTAAATCATGAAAACCACCTAGATTCCCAAATCCACCTAGATGATTACCAAAACCTAAAACGATTGAGAAAAATCTATAGTGTTTAAATATTCATTATTAGAAGTAGAAAATTGAATGTTAAAAGCGAACCTAAGAGCAACGGTAAATCTAAGAAGCATCACCAATCCAGATATATGCGCATTTAAATGGGTCTACTAAATTCATCTGGAGTTTACTCAAAATAAGAGATGAAAAATAAAACACATGCATCATAAAAAAAAAATGTTCAACCCATGCATGGCAACAAAATCTCACAAGAAAATGGTTGAAATCAGTAGAAAAACGTCTAATAAAATCATAAGACTAAGAGCTAACTATTTTTTTTTGACTGTAATATTACACAAGTCGTGAAAACAAAATATTAACTCGAGAGCTAACTTTCCTATATGGAAAGTAGGAGATCGACTGAGTGAAAAGATAAATAGACAACGTCAAAACATCCCAAAAAAATGAAAATGTTCATAGAGGACTATAGGATTCAAATGGATTTTTGTTTTGGCCTTTCCTTAATGTTGATTCTAAGAGAGAGAAAGAGAGTGATCTGTTATGAATACAAAATTCCTATGACAAACTACAGATATAGAGAAGATAATGCTAAATATTCAGACGATATTTGAGTCTTATACAAAGCATAGAAAACGATGATAATCACTGCAGAGATCGGTCAAAACTGACTTCTTCCTAAACTATGCAGTATGATTAATTATCTCAAAAAAATAGATACTTGTACTACAATGTAAATTAAGTATCATATAAGTTTTAATTATGTTAAAAAGCAAACGGATATATTCTAAAGAATATATATACTTATTTTAAGCTTTTGACTAGTGTTACGATAATTAAAGTACTTATCGAAAAATAACTTCAGAAGTGTTGTTTAAACCTCCTCTACTTTCGAATTATCTTTTTTACAAATTGCTATCATCAGAAAATAAAGAATGAGTGGTTGATTTAAGAGAAAAAAAGCAAGCAAAAAGAAGAATGTTTTGTAGTTATAAGCACTAAGCCTCCTATTATTTCACTCAGTCGATTTAATGATAATTCTATTAATATTGAGATTAAAAATGATTCCATTAAACTCTTCTGAAAACGAAAGTCATAGTTTGTCTGATAACAAATTCAAATATTTTTTAGTGAACATAGATTTTGATATTAATCAGAAATCTAATGAGTAACTGTAATATGTTATCGAGTGTGGTTTCTAACATTCCATTCCACTACTATATCTTTTATAAGGGCAATATATAAATATTAGATAGGTATAGATAAATATCATCAATCACATTTCTTAGTTCTCACCAAAACGAAAAAAACGTCTTGTCCGTCCATCTAGAAACAATACTTCGAGAAAATTAATCTGTATCAAGTAATTAGAATGAGAGATTCTAAAAATTTCAAAAAATAAACATCATTTTTATCTAACTTACAAGAAAATGTATCTTATATAACTATAAATAGTCTGAAAAATATAATACTCAGCACTTACTAAAATCATCATCCATTCCTCCTCCAAAATGATTCATAAATTGTGCAAATATTTCAAATGGATCATGAAAATGAAATGTTCGATGAATAAAATCATCATCTGTTCCAAAATGCATATTTTGTCCATAACGTCCGTTACGTCCGATTTGATCATATTTACGACGTTTATCTTCTACAAAATAAAATTAAAAAAAAAAAACCCTCATCTACTTAACATCAATAATCAATAGTAGTAAACAGAGCAAGAGCAGCAGTAGTAGTCATAGTTTCTATGCATGCAATACTTTTGTATATTGTCCATTCAAAATTGATTGTTCCAATCACCATCACTAACTTTGTTAGTAATATACGCGTGTATAGATTCTCTCCTACCTTGACTTCTCTTCTCTTTAAATACAATGGGATTATTAGCTGTATGAGACATATTTGTTATATTTAACATCACCGTTTTCATCGGTAGATATTCATTGACTATTTTATCTGGCGGATGTAACGGTGTCGATGCTGATCGCCCTTTTGGTAATAAATAATTTGGTATATTCAAAGTATTACTATTTAACTGTTCATTATTGTTATTTTGGAATAAACGTTTTGCTGAATGTTCATTATTAACTTCATACGCTGATAAATTGCGCAGATCTTTCTGAGATCTCGTTACTAAATTTGGTCGAACTAATTGTCTAGCTGATCGAGTACGACGAAATTTTTGTGAAGGATTTGATGATACGAATGGTAATTGTTTGGATTCAATGGGTTCAAAATCGAAGGCACTAAAGTTTTTTCTTTCTTCCGAGATAGGATTGCGGTAATATTGTGGGTGAGCATTTTCGTTTGGTATTTCAAGTAATTCGATCGGTTGAATATTGTTAGGTATCGAGAATGAATTACTGAAAATGCCGATAGATTTGGGACGTTGTTGATTTGGACCTTTTTTCCTTAAATGTTTCTGTATTTCAGTAACAGGTGTAAATGTATTTGTTATTGGATCATGATATATATCTGACTGGTTTGACTTTTGGTCAAAACTATTTTGATTCAAAAGATCCTTAATCAATGTCAAATAGTTGGCATCTGTTTGTTGTTGTTTTGGCTGAGACTGATTAGTTTCGTTATTGAGTTGCTTAATATTTGAACTATCAACACGATTTAAGTATTCGTTTTGATTTTTTTGGGGACCAAGTTTTACTTGTGTAGGATTACCCTGACCTTGTTGTTGTACTCTATTCGCTATTGGAATCATAGGAGAATATGAAGTAGGAGTTTGGTGTGTACGTTTCAAAGATGATTCTTGATAGTAATCGTCGGTATTTTGTCGTGGGTATATTGGAGAAGTTTGCAAGTTTTCAGTATTTGGTAGCCTAGCATACGATTGAGTTATTTTATTATGGATTTTATCTGATGAAATATTATTTGAAGTATTATTTATTTGACGTTGTGCTCCATTTCTCAATACTGATGATATGTTATTATTTATGTATGGCGTGTGAGCTTGCTGTTGTTGAACTTGAGACTGTTGTTGAATATGAGACTGTTGTTGAACATGAGGCTGTTGTTGAACTTGAGGCTGTTGTTGAACATGAGGCTGTTGTTGAACATAAGGCTGTTGTTGAACATGAGACTGTTGTTGAACATGAGGCTGTTGTTGAACATGAGACTGTTGTTGAACATGAGACTGTTGTTGAACATGAGGCTGTTGTTGAACATGAGACTGTTGTTGAACTTGAGGCTGTTGTTGAACATGAGGCTGTTGTTGAACATGAGACTGTTGTTGAACATGAGACTGTTGTTGAACTTGAGGCTGTTGTTGAACATGAGGCTGTTGTTGAACATGAGACTGTTGTTGAATTTGTGACTGTTGTTGAACATAGGGCTCAATTAAAAATAATTTATCGTTACCAGTTTGTCGATTTTCAAAATGATTGAATTTTACACCATTTTGTTTATTGTTAGTATATTTTCGTGGTTGCTCGAGATTAGAAAAGTTCAATTCTCGTTCGTCTAATGACGGTATGGTAATTTTAAGCGACGGACCTCCATTTTGAGATATTGGCTGTTGATTATTAGTACTTTGTGAAGATCTATGTACTGTATTTTCTCTGGATATTTCCTTTTCAATAGTAGGAGCAGTATTTTGTATATTTTTTCCAAGTTCAACTCTTCGATTCAATAATGATGATGATATACGTTTATCGGCGAGTTCATTTTCATAAGAACTTTTGAAACTTTGTTGTGGAGACTGAGTCAAATGGTTATTAATTTTTTGTGGCTCGTTTACTGTATTTTCTAGCTGTATTTTATTCTGAAATGAGTTCTGTGTTTTCAAAACATCTTGTTTAGTGTTACCAAGTTGACAATTTCCATCATCCAGAGAGGGTATAAAATGTTTTCGTCTATTTTCAAGATGAACATTTGAGTTTTGTTGTGAACGATTATATCCAGCGTCAAGCTCTTTACTAGGTCCATTTAAAGTAGAATTCATAGCCAGATTTGTTGGAAATACATTGTGGAATAACTGATTTTGATCACTATTATTATTAGCGATATTTCTTTCTCGAATATCCTCGCTAGTAGATAAATTTTGTCGAGTATTTATTTCAAGTGGTGGTTGATCAATGTTACGTTTGAACTTGGGTAGTGGCGGTTTTAAAGTCGCTGGAGTCTCTGATGATTGCTTAATATTTTGTTGCAAATTAGGTATGAAATAGTTCTGGAATCGTTTAAAATAGCCAGACGGATGTTTTTGTTTATCATCTGATTGCAATGACTGCAAAGGTGGCGTATTTTTTTTATTCAATTCGACATTTTCCAGTTCATTCATACGATTATTATTATTTTTAAGTGATCCTTCGGTTTGATGACAAACATCCTTTTGTAAAATATTATAATCGATATTTTGATTTGCTACTGTTGGCTTGTGATGATGGTGGTTAACCGGTATTGAAAAATGTTTTGGTAAAGAAAACGATGGATCACGATAAGCCTTCGATTTATTATTCTTACGTGAACAATCACGTGGTTTTCGTTTACTGTTTTCATTATTCTTTGACGTTGTATGGTCGTCTTGTTGTCGCTGTTGTGAATTAGTTGGTGTTATTTTTCGCTTTTGCTGATGATGTAAATAATCATACATTTGAACAAGCCGATCTATATTATTCGAAAGTTTTAGTTTAGAAAAACGTGATTGATATTTGTGACCTTCCGGTGGATTTTTAGCAGAAACGGTATTTGATTCATCTTCATTCCCATTTGATTGCTTTTTTTTCTTTTTTTTAGCTTTTTCTGATACATGCGACTCGCTATTTGTTTGAATAGTTGTTGATGGTGATTCCTGTTTCACGTTATCAACAAAATATCGATTTTTCAAATCGTAATAATTATTATCGTCATCCACGTTAAAATCATAATAAACCGACATGTTTATTTCATGTACCACTTGCCCATCTTTTAAAGCCTGACCTGCATCATGGTTTATTTGATCACTGACAATTAATTTCTCAAATGTTTCTTGATCATTTTCATCCACAACATGGTAGACATGTTCAAATTTATCATCATTAAATCCATTTTCGGATATAAAACAACTAAGATCAGTATCGAGTTCATTTTCATCTTTTTTTGTTTTCAATAGCATATCACTCTCTTCTAGTTTTCTATTAGGTGATAATGATTGTTGTTCCATAATATGTTGACGAAACTGTTCTTCACACATACGACGAAATGTTTCATCGTTAACTACCATACGAAATAAACGTTCTAATTCTTCGTTTGTTGTTTCAGAATGAACAACATTTCGCCCAAATTTATCATATAAAAATCGGCCACGACCTTTACGAGTACAACAACACAATAACGATGAGTACAACAACACATTACTACTACTACTACTGCTACTTTTGCTAGATGCTAGAACAAGAAAATTGTTGACAGATCACTAATACACTTACTGTCGGATAAGATTTCATAGGCTTCTGATATCAATTTAAATTTTTCTTCTGCTTCAGATTTATTATTCAAATTTTTATCAGGATGCCACTAAAACAAAATCAGTTTTGCAGAAATCTATATGGAAATGACCGATGTCTATCTAAAGAACTATATTCGTGGTGAAAAGGAATCGTCGTACAACCACAACAAGCCCTTATTCAACTGTGAAGATACATGTACTTCTTTAAAGTATTCCTATTCTTGCAGAAAATGACCTTGACATCAATAAACAAGAGGTGTTGATTGATGTTAGTTTCGTAATTCATACCTTCAATGCTAAACGTCGATATCTAAAAAAAGAAGAAAAAAAAATCAATAACACAAAAAAAACATTTTCCATTTGGTTTAATTTACGTACGCTTTTTTAATTTCATCCTCGCTTGAAGTTTTCTCTACTTCTAATATCGCATAAAAATCAGCCATGTTTCTTGACGTTCACAATAAATAATTGGAAAAACTAAAGAAAAAAGATCAACAGGAGTTGTGGAGAAAAAAAACGTGCTTTTTCTAGACACCATGCTTTAGGCTATTTAGTTTGTTGCAACAGTTACAAACAGACCGTCGTTTTTCTTTTTTGATTCTTCATACATACAGATAATTACCCATGTAATATATGTGTGTGTTTGTATTTATTCAAATATGCAGATACTCTTTCTATTACTATCAGTATATTATATAGATGTATCTAATACAAATCTTTCTATATTCAATGACAAATATATCCTTGCAATACAATAAAAACCAAGAAAAGAACAACGACATGCTTTTTCTTTTTTTATATAGTAATCGCAGTCTCATCAGATAATGTCGACACTCCGTGAGTAGTATAGAAGATACCAATATCGATGTATCTTCTTGATCGATATCATTGTAGCGATTGATATTACTAACCTTGAACGATTATCGTTTAGAATTTTGATTGAACACTTGAAATACAGTAACCTTGTTTTCAAATGCAGCTCGTGTAGTTTGTTCACTCACCCACACACCACGCTCAACACACTCACACACACAACGATAGACAAATATCTGAAAAGAGAAGAAAGAAAACCTGTCAGAAAACATATTTTTTTTGCAAGCTAACTGAACTTTAGTAGTTGAACGACTTGTCATTTGTTCTAAGAACTTGAATACAATATTTTGCAAAACAAATTCATCACTTTTCAATTAGAGCAAATTTTCAATACGTTTTTACAATATTTGAAGTTCGTATTTCATACTCTTTTTATGTCCCTGTTTCACAACGCTTGTCCATGCTTTTGTGTTAATCCACATTGACTAAAATAAGAGCATAGAGTTTTTGACTGCATCAAATTATAGGCTTTTAATGCTAATTGTTTCATTTCTTTTTATCTGTATCATGAGACATTGAAC